CGCCGCCTTTTCCATCTCTTTTGCTTTCGTTACCCACCACTGCTCACGGTCGTTCCTTAGACTTTTGCTTAACCTAGATCTGATTTGTTGTCGGCACGTCTCTATGATGGAATAAGTTACTCGATTAGTTTGATATATTATGTTTCGATAAGACCTGTAATACTGGCCGGTATGTTTGTGCTTTCCATTTAATGACTGTAATTCCTATATTTATTGTTCTAATCTAAATGTTTTCACGTTTAGAAACGGATAAAGTCTCAGGCAAAGTTGTCAATGTCCTGACCATAGCTCTCACATAGACTCTGGGGTCGGCAATACGCATTTACAGTTCTAGTAGTATGTCTCTAGGATAAATTAAATCGTGCAACGAATTTCGCTCTAATCTAGGACCTGTGTTTCACATCTTGCTGGAACACACTGTCTCTAGTAGTTTCTTCCTACAAGAAAATGAGGCGGCTGACGCTTTTGCGTTGTGGTTCAGATATCCTATTATTATATTACACTGCCATGAAGTTAACTAAGTGTACAAGTTACCAGGTGCTGGTCAGATGGTATGTGGTTTAGAGATGGTAATGACAAACTGCTGATCAAAGAATATGAAAGAGTGTAGGGCTGCAAAATTTATGGGTAAAAAGGTAGGTGGGTAGGAAAACAAGATTTTTGTATGCTGATAAATAATTTCTTAAACTGGTAGTACGTGAACTAGGAGTAACACAAAATAATTTAGAATGTTATGAACTTCCTATGATTGTCCACAAATGAGCAGCACCCATAGGGTTAGTGATTTTTCAATCTATTTGGAATAGAAATTAAGAAAAAAACATTAGACTTCGTGGAAAAAATTATTCAACCTCAAACAATATAGAAGATCCGAATCTGAATGTGGGGCGAGAAGCGTAAGTGCATGACTAACATCGAATAATGGGAGAGAAAAGCCACGTGTCGAATCAGTTGTTCATATATGTGTAGTGACTCACTTTAATCACGAGAACACGACTGGTTTAATGGAAATAATTATTATTATAACCAACTGTACCAGGGCTTGTTTTAATGTGCTTTTGTTTAACTGTGTTAATGACAGCTACATTGTACTTCCATTATTATTCTAACACTTTGATTGTGACCTCGCGCGAATTCGGTTACGTTCTGTAACCAAGCTTGTACCCTGGCACGATCTCGGTATTCTTTTGATATCACGAGATCGCCAGCAAATATATCTCGACTTGGTACATTAACTGCCTTCTGATATTTGGCTTACGGGGGAGTTTTATGGATATCCTGGCACGCGTTCCTTTGTAGTGGTGTTCATAGTCTACCGCGAATCCACGCCATGCTACACATGTATGAATGACAATGAATGTCTGTTGTGTTCATGGTCGGTCTAGTTACAAGGCGGTGCATAATAGTGCCTCATAATTCAGTTTGAGTTTTCAGAATAGTTGAATTATTGAGGTCAGGATTAATAGTCTTTTGAACTTATTGATGGTATCACCCTTCTTAATGCTTATACTCTAATTGGCAAACTAGACTTTATACTAAAGTCAGTTTAAGCACTGCATCGATTCCTTACCCACAGTCAATAATTTGTAACTGCCTGATAAGCTTGTAAAATGGTACTTATAGAAATAGTGTTTTCCAACAGGATGTGTAACACAGAGGATTGTGTGAGGTATGACATTAAAGATGCCACAGGTATTCAGAGTTTGACAACGCTTTAACCAGTAAAACCTTCTAATATGAATCGTACCCACCAAGTAAAATCAGAAGACAGAAGCAAGGAGGTTCGAGGATATATTTGATAGGCTATCAATATGTCGAGAATCGTTTGATCTAATCTGGCTAGCGATTGCAGGGGATGTTGAGCACGGCGTTCCCACTCGTGATCTGGTGCGGATGTATGACCGCGCTCCTTCACCTAGATGAGTCCATTGAAACTAATGTGATCAGCATCTAATGTTGGAAACTTACAGAGCTATTTATTTTAGGGATTTATTTACCGCTACAACATTTATCAAAAATTAGCTGAAATGAGCCTAACATCGCAAAAGAGGGGTTGAGTTACTGATCAGCAAGCATACATGGTGAGGGCGATGACTTCAATTCACCTGTGACCAGTAAAATGTGAAATCTTAAAATAGTAGGTTAAAAACTACAACACACCAAACACCAATATACCTATGGTTGATCGTATGCTGAACTACTTTCAAAACAAACTATACTACTTGGTCGCTTCAACTTAAATTAGGCCAATTAAACTGGAAAGTATTGATCTTTACCAGTAATAAACGACTAAAACCAGAAATTTAATCCAGCGAGGTAAAATACATGTATTGTTTGTGAATAGCGCGCGACATACCTATTCACATAATAAAGACAATACTGATTTTTAACCTCTAATGATAATATTTTTAAGCTAAAAGCCGAACAGTTCACCGAAATAAACAGTTTTATAGACTTGGACATTGTCGGCATGTTGGTTTTTTTATGGTCCGCTAATTGATGGCGCCTGGTCAAGATGGCCATGGCTTCATTCGTCATAAACTTAGGTAATGTTTTCAGGCAGCTGACCGCTACATAGAAAGATACAGCGAGCCGTTGGAAAATGTTCAAAGGACCACAAATAAGTCGATTACCGGGATAGGATAGCATCCGTACGATGCTTGAGTGGCCAAACTAGACCTGCTACCATTGTCACGTGAAGGAACCGGAGACAACTTGATCAGTTTTCAAATCGCTCAGTAATAAATTTTTGTCTACTGAAGCAAAATTTACGAGGATACTAAAACAGTTTATGAGCCCGGAGCCTATTACTTGTTAGCTGTTTATCGGTATCTCACAGACTAAGAGTCCTTGTCTCATCATGTGTCTAAAGTATCATCTCAATGCATTCAGTGAAAGGTTCGGCCAACTGATAGGCCACCATTTGCCATTGATGCTGCGTCCTGGTCAATTTGGTTGTCGACCTCGTTGGACTAAGTAAGTGGTGTTTGTGATGACTTATTTTTCGTCTCTGATGTTTCTGAGGAGACATTTTTCTGAGTTCTGCCCTTAAAAGTTCTCGGTGTGATAATGTATCACTTGTTTTTTTTAGGTATTTAATATCCTCTGAGTTACAAACTTGTGTCCTTGGTGTCCGGTAACGTCAAGTGTACTTTGAACCTTACCAATAATGAAACTCTAACTACTAGCTTTCTTGTTTTTTTTTAATGGTTTTTGTGGATTTGAGACCTACATTAGTGCAATTAGTACGCTTCGTATTTTAATGCTGTTTGTGAGAAGAGTATAGAAAGTGGCTGGGGTGCTCTATGTGTACGGGGTCACACACTTCTGCGGCCGGTAGCGACCTGCGTTCTATGCGTTGGTCCCAGAGGTCAATAAAAGACTAAGACCTTGACATCGCCAGATTTTCCCTGGGTTGTTTTATTCGGAGATTACGCTAGTAAACAAATTGGTGGAAATAAAGCGTAGCTACGTTGTTCGTAAAAACAACCTTGTTACATATCCATAGTTGGCCTATCAAACCCTCGAGATGTTTCCATGGTTTTCCTAGTATCAGTATGTAGGAGCTCGAACTCACGGCAGTCAGTAGTGCGTAGTAAAACTTCAGCCTCCTCTCAAGCGGAGATCGTGTCTAGACAAAGTAACGTAGAGTAGTGTAGCGCGTGCTACCAATGTTAGGTATGAGTAGTACTTACCGTCATCTGGAAGTGAGGTATGTGGCGGTAAAAGGTTGAGATCAGGTAATGGCTGCTATGTAGTTCGGGGTAGTCGACAGACTTGCAAATTGAGCGTTAACTGTCTGGTTCTCGGGTTCCACTAAAACGTCTTGCAATTTTTGTGTTCAGAAAGATTTGATTGTCCCGCTTATGTTCTCGCTCACTACGGTAGTACTTGCGGTATGATAGTTGAGAGGCAGTTGCCGTAGATCTTTGTTGGGAAACCACTCGGAGCCCTACCCCTCCTCGCTACCGTAGGAGCTCTGTGACCCGAGTATAGTGTACATGTGTGTGGTGTGGTTTTTAGTAAGATCAATATCACGAGCCCATCAATTTCCTGTACCAGTAGTGGCAATACGATGTGTGCAGAAGTTTTTACTTACATTTCGGCGGGTATTTTTAAGGTTCAGGCGACTAATCAGCTTGGATCTGAAGTCATGTCGCCCCAGGAACGGTCAAAGGCGGGTTTGTCGTGTAAGTAGAGTGGGGATGTAAGGCGTTTACTAAACTTTGTCGGCACTTTTTTTTAACAATCAGTTGGTGAAGAGACACGAAATACATATGCGTCACACAAATCACTCGGTCTATGTTAGGGCTGAGATTCTGCTCGGGTGCCCAGACTGTGAGGTATGTGGTTCTCTTGGGGGGCACTTCCCGAGCATTTCACTCAGGGGTCTAATCGAGGTCAGCTAAAGTGAACTTAATTGCCAGTCGGTTGTACGCGACTGTGGACTTTTGTGAGGAAGTACATCTTTATAGTATCTGCTTCAAATAGGGAAAACCGAAGGTGAACTTGTAAGAAACAATAAATTTACGTGAACAAATTCGGGAGAAGGTTCCCAATCTAGAAAGCAAGACTTGATTTGTCGGTAAATATATATTTAATTAATGTGGAGTTAGCGAATCATATCACAGATCGCAGAACTGTCCAGTTATTTGCACTTGCCGATTACAGATTCTTGATAGTTCATCCTCCAACTGAAATCATGAAACAAGAATATGTACTGTTTTAAAAACTAAGTCGACTTTCAGAGCTAAATTAAACAAAACTGCGATAATTAACATGTGAATGAAACATTTGCCCAAGACTTTGTAATGAAGTCCAGATTTCTAACTTTATGATAATATGTGTGACTTCAGTTATCGCTTGATCCTAGCAAAATCAACATTTCGAACAAAAACCAAATCCAATTTTTAGAAAAGACGAGGACTATACCTCAGTTATAGATTAACTGGTAAAAATGTTGAGATGTTAGGTTTCAATTCAATTTATCTAAATATCAACCTAAATGCATTAGAAATGTAGTAAACGATTATTTTCTAATTATCAGGGAGTATGTAGTTTTAGGGGAATTAGATAATCATTAAGATGATTACTAACAAGTGTCTGACACTGAGTGACAGGGTTGTAATCAAATGAATATTGATTTTCATAGAAATGCAAATATGTTTAATAGTACGAAATAGATTTAAAGTTACATAACCTAACATCTCAGGATTAAGATAATTTACGAACACATGATGAAAGTATTGAAATAGATAAAAATGGCAACAGTATGAGTGGATTGCACAAAACTTACAAAGCTAACTAACTTCTTACAATAGTTCTTGAGTTGCGCGAGTTGTGTTGTCTTCTCCTGTTGCTCCATTAGTGCTTTGTCGATCAGTTTCTGTGTTTGACTGCATCTTGTTCTAGCCAGTTCTACTTGACGTCTATAATCCAGAAGTCGATCAGTCAATCGATCTAAGTATCCTATTCTAGTTCGTATCATCATTAATTGGCTTAAAGAACTTTAAATAAACAAAACGTCATAGATTAGTCACATATAGTAGATATTTCATATTCAGACTATGGAGTAGTAACTATTAAAACTACCTTGTAGTTAGCTTATTCAAAGCTTCTTTAACAAGTTCAATCATTCTAGATATGTCATTTGATGTATATGACAGATCGTTTGGAGCATTCTAAAAAAAAACAAGCAAACATAAACTATGAAAGCATTATGTATATTGATAACAATGAAGAGGCTTGATGCATGTAAGTTCTTATTGAACCTTAGAGTTTCTTGACATATCTTCAATTATAAATTATAGATAATAATGTAATTAAGATATATTTTTGTATCGAGTAGAAGTCTTATGCCATCCAGCATAGTCAAAGAAGTCAATATTCAGCTAGTTCGTTTAAACTACTAATATATCCAGATATTATTGACTTCGCAACAACATATGATAATGATGAAGCTTGAGTAATGTCCATCTACATATTTGATCTGTTCTAAATGGCTTATATAACAAATTATCTTAAAAGTAGGGAGTGACTATATATAACATGATTAGCAGACTGACACTGTAAAATACCTCCAAACAATAGACGTAAATCGGAGTTTCGTATACGACTACTTAATACATTTCTATAACTAGCCATTGTTCCGCGAAATAGTAAGGACAATTTGTTGGAAGTGAGCTGATTTCCCAATATCACACAATAAAAATAGCGAGTATAAACTGATTCGAGAAAGATAAATACAAAAAAGCGATATTAGAAAATCTAGCACAAGGCATTAGGTAATAGTAGTGTAACATCCAAACATGTGGACGATAGTTTGGATTCAGTAAAAATTCTAAATAGACTTTTCTTTCCGGTTAAGATTGCGTACATATTGATCTACTACGTCAAAGTTTTATTACTGGTGCTCAGACTCAAGTCTTCGTCAATAAGCAAACTATTAGAGTGCTGATCTTAATAACTGTATTTGATACTTATTTCTTAAAATTAATAAAACAGGTGCATATTTCGTATGCTTTCTATGAGTAATTTCTTAGATAATGATATCACAAATAAACAACAGACTAATCTTATATACAAATGTAACGTTGGCTTGTTAAGACAGTAAGCTAAATGGAATATAGTTATAAACAGTTTCGGTGAAAAAACCAGGAAGTTTGCTGTATGTTCTATGACCACAATTCAGTTTTATTTGTAGATTACCAAAATTACACGTCGATTACATCAGCGTCTCTGACCCAACTTTCAATAAATTACCTATGTGAGAAACAATGAGATGGTTGTTGTTCTTCAAACGATGCTGCTTGTAGTGCTTTTGAGAAAATAATTAAACCACAAAAGTTTGTGCTAACTCGAATATAATCCAAAGATAAAAAGAAGGGAGAAATTATTTGTACCTGCGATTTATTATCAGGGTATTTGAAGATTGGTTACTATCTGTTTAGAAATACAAAGGTTTCGAAAATTTTGTTATCTTGATCTGTAACTTGGCTTAAGTTAAAACGAATATGAAAAATGCCTTTAAGTACAAATCTAATGGAAAAGGGCGTGTTTAGCTAGTAAAGTATTCTACAGAAGCAATATTGATGATGAAGTACATCACAGTATTCTACAATATGTAAAGGCGTATTTCTAACTACAATAAAGGAATAACATATTTCGTACGTTGTATTTCAGATTTTTATAGGACATGATAGAACATTTTAGATGCATTTATCGGGAAGTAATTTGATGTGGGTCAAATTTGAGATTACAAGGAATTCCATCGCAACAAGATTGTAATGATCACTGTACCACACAAACAGAAGACTATTATCATAAAAGTAAATAATAATTTATGCCCTGTGAAATCGCTCCCGAAATATTGGTGGTATATTACTCAAGTCTCTAGAAAGTGCCGACGAACTCACATATTTTGTTCTAGTGAAGTTTCAGGTGAATTTATTTTATACTGCAAAACGAAGAGATATCTTTCAGGAAGTATGAGGAACATTATATAAGTTACAAAATACTTGTATGGAAAACTATAGATATTATGTAAATATAATAAATTTTTGATAACGAGCATTCAATTTAATAACAACATTTTTCAACCTGTATGATAATATTCTGAATGGTATCACAACCAATACCACCGGAAGGTTTGAACGCATTACATCCAGTTCTACTGAGCTGATGCTCACTTTCATTATCTAATCGTTCGAGTAAATCCTCCTGAAAACGTTGAAGAAACGCATTCAATTCAAGTAGATCATTTAAAAGAGCTTGACGTCCATCAACTGAGTCTAAAAGATAACGAGCAGATGCACCAGAAGCAACTATTGGTTTTCTTTCGTTTATTGACGATGGAACATTAGACTGACTGGCAGAATCAACGTTTGGATTATCTGGCGTTCCAGATGAAGAGGTTGACACCATGTTTTCCCTTTCAATTTCAATGTTTTCCACAGACTCTACATCAAAAGGACCGAAATCTATTGCTCCTACTTCGTTTTCATCCCACAAAATCTACATCGAATACAAAATACGTGCTTATTTACGGATAATACATTAAGAAAAAGTCTACAAAGGCCATGAAATTTATCTTAATATTAATACTCCAATTATAAAACAATAATATCTGATTCAGCGATAACTCAAAATGATCTTTATGAAGGCACAGAAGAATAAGCTTATGAGTCAGATAAAGCATAGGAAACTTATGGTCAGTAATTCTAAGCAATCAAATGACATAATAAAACTAGAGAAGATACAAAGAAAACAAACAATCATCGGAATCTGATGTCAAATAGTTCTAAATAACAGAAATACATTTTCTACACGTTAACAAATAATAATTATAGAAATTCTGTGCTTGTGATCATTTGTACTGCTAGACATGAATCAACGCATATTCATTTTATTGAACCCAGCGATTCACTGTGTTTAGTATTGGATAACTGAGAGTGACTGTTAGGATATAACAAGTTGGAATGAACAGTTAAGGTTTACAGTTGCCGATTAACCGATAAGCTACGGAGAATACTAGTTCATCAACCGTTCTTAAGCAGACTGACCCCCAACTGCGTACATTTTTGTCTAAAACTTAGTACATTTACATGGATTTATTTATTCGTGTCTCTCAGCCATACAAGTGGGTACAAGAAGATATTACCTAGGTATTTCATAGTAGACGGAATATTCACTTAAATTCTAAGTTTGCGAGGCGTATTTTCTTTAGAACCATGTGTAATGTCTTTTAAGATTTTATATATTGCATACTTTCTTAGCAAAACGTAATGAACATTTGTTTATCGGAAACATTTATTTCCAAAAGGTTGAATCATTATCTCAGATATTTGGTGAATAAATCTTGCAGTGGATGATTATGCACGACTGTAGAGTTCCTGCCGTGGTATGGTAGTTGGATTCGTCATAACAAGCCATGGTGGTCGGCCAGGTAATCGATAAGATTAAAATCATAAAATTTAAGCTCCAAGATCGGATTCGTGCACCCAGCTGTTGTCGAGCCAAAAGTGTCTTTCACGGATGGATGACATTTACAGGAACGTCATTATATCATAATGAGAAAGGCCTGGTCACAAAGATAACACACCCTAATCCGTCCAAATAATTTCCTTCACTGCATTTATTTATCTCAATTATCTCGTTAGCCTTGATAAGTGGACTTAGAAAGTTTCTTTGGCTTTTGCTAACTTGGGCAATTTGTGGTGTAGGCAAGATGTTGATCTATAGACTAAAGCGCGAGTAAACTGCAGATTTTGATCACAATTGTTCTCAAGACACTCTTGTACCGTGGGACAGCTGAGTGAGTAATTCTCAGCTTAGGTGCAATGTATTAGGCAGATATGGCGAATCGATTGATGAGGATGTAAACTTTCATAGATTGAGGTGGTTGAAGCATAGGCCTGACCATCGTCTACCAAGATGTATAATTTTAGGTGGAGTAGGAGTGATTTTGGAGAAAGCTAGGAGCATCAAAAAAAGGATATAACTTCAGTTCTTGAAATCACCGGTTTCTAAACTGCGAAGTGTGAGCAGATGTACATTCAATTGTTAAGTTAGTTGTTATGTTTACATGTGACTAGGAAAATGTTTAATCCCTACAACAGCAAAAACATGTGTACAATATCTCCGCTCGATCCACAAACGTTCTGATAAGTTGGAATTTCGGTTATCAACTATAATAACTGATTTAATCGAGAGTATAACATAGAGCCGTATTTAGTCACCAATAAAAGTAAATAAGAATTGCATCAGTGCTTCCACATATAAACATAAAAAATCCACCCGAAGTATAAATCTTTTCCACCATTTCATATACAGTATCTTAAGACGGCTAGATTTCTGTTTGGTACATAATTAATATTAAATAACCTTGCTTATGATTATTTCCCCAAACAAGTTCGAGTCAGAATGCTAAGCGAAACAAAATAGTTATTTAGAAAAGAGCAAGAACAAAGATTCTAGCAGAACAGCATGAATTCATTTTCGTTTCGTCGGTGCTCGTCAGCTACCTACAACCCATTATGTAATTATAATTTTAAATATCACAGGTTGTAAGCAGCTGACGAGAACCTACGAGATAAAAATGAATTCATTCTATTCTGCTAGAATCTTTGGTCTTGCTCTTCTCAAAACGATAAAGGGAACTATGAGTACGAAATAGTTATTTAGTTTTGATTCCCTGGGGTTTTTCAAATATGACTTTAATATTTAATATATCTAGAACAAAATATTATGAAGCGAGTCTTTCAAATATGAAAAACCATATATTACAGCCCATGTGTACGCTATATAATTTTTTTCGAGGTATCATGAAAAGAGTGACAGGTTTCCATTATTTTTGAGCACCCCATTGAAACAGGTTGCCTATAGAAATAGGACTCTCAAAAAGGAATAGTTGATTTCCCTGTAGTAGGCTTGACGATTTGGGGAAATTATTGTGAAATAACTCTGAGGAATGAACTAACCTCGTTTAGTTCAGAAGGAACATTTGAATCTGTAAATACATTTTGACTCAATTCCATTGATAACTGGTTAACTTTCATTTTTTCCTGCTGTAAAAGAAAGGGAACAAAATCATCACTTCCTTCAATGTGCTCCGGCTCACATCCATTTTTCCATGTAAACACCATAACATGGCCTGAATCAATTAGTAGTTTTAGGGTGGGACAGCAACCATAAAACTTTTCAGGTTCGTGATAGTCATCCTGAAAACTGTACAAACAAAACACTTCATTATAATTTAGTGCACTATGTGAAATGCTATGTATTTAAACACAGCCAAATCTTAAGAGAAATAATTGGTTAAATGAAATTAAGTAAACAAACGATCGAGAAACAAACTGAAGATATACATTTAGTGCCATTATCTGCTACTTTTAATTAGACTGTGAATAAAGTTTTGTTACTGTAACCTTACTACTTAGTAATGATAACTTATGTTTATATAGACGATCGGATATTTTACTTTACGTTTTCATTAAAAAGCATTATTGTTATTTTACTGCTGATTTATCCCAGTTTTTTATATAGAGAGGGAATGTTTACTGTATATCACTACGTCAGATTCTATGATGCTTTGTTTGCCTATGTTTCTGAAACGTATGAAGAATGACCATTTGTTTGCATTTCTATCCTATTGAGTCTTTAGTACTAAACGCTTTATAAAGTTTCTGCAGTATACCTCAGCAATGCATGTGGAGGAACAATGACCAGAGGTCTCGTGTTCATACTGAACATTGACTGGTACTAAGAAGAGTTAAATGTGTTTATAAATTAAAGTTATACTTTAGTGGGTGTGTTTACCAATTAAAGCGTTGTTGTAGAATTATTCCTCAGAATCTTACTACAACAGTTAACATAAACGAAGAGCGTTGAAATAAAAATAACTGATTGAACAGTGAGCGATCAGATTAATTCCAAATTCCAAAATGAGCTTAAACCCAACAATCAAAATCTAAAATGGCCCTTTCACTTTGCAATAACAATAATATTTTTGAGAAATTTGACCTATAAGAAGCGTGCTTCATTTTGTTTTGTTGTCATATGATAAATATGATGTGGTACTAAATTAACTCTACGGAAAAAACAGAGATGACCTCAAGCAGTTGTGGTATAGGCTCTAATACAATACACTGGTTTGACACAGTAATAACGGTGTTTCAGATTCTCATAAAATCCTGCTAAGATAACATCTATGTCAGCAGCTATAAAGAAACTTTCCTAGTCGAAAAACACATAGAGCATCAATTTTAACCAACTCCATGGGAAAAGAGAGCACGGAAATGAACTAGACAGTGGTGAGCGATGAATAGAGAAACTGACAAAGTCAAGCAGTGAGCGAAGAGCGACTGGTGCTTATCACAGTAAGCGATGTTAGAAATGTTAACGGTAATATCTCAAAGCAGGACAGTAAAAATTTTGAAAAAGGTACTTCGAGGAAAACTGCAAGTAATTTACAACTAAACCTTACTTAATTATCTAATGGTAACTCAAATGAAGAACTGATGCTAGCGCTTACTAAACTTGAGAAAATTAAGACCAAAAGTGATTACTATTCAGAGAATCTTAAAGGTTTCAATCAGAAATTACTGACATCTGGTATTTAAGAGATCCCTCTCTCTTTAGGAGCAAAATGTGGAAACTTAGACCAATATATTTTTACACGAGGCGCTAGATTATTGGATTGTTCAACTGGTTCTCAGTTGATAGTTGTTAAATTAAGATTCACCTGTATTCTTACATATTCAAGCATATCGATGTCGGTAATCCTTCCTAAAATCTGACAGCTGCTCTAATAAAATGATATAAAAAAAGTATATGTTCATAAGTCTGTCACACATATCGCTATAAAAGTAACTCAACCTAAGCCAAAGTAGCTTTTTAGTCGAACACCCGACGAAGCGCTCTACACACAATGAACAACATATAATTCCAGAAAATATCAAGTTATGCACATTTGTTGTCGTTAAAACTAAGCGATGCAATAGTTTTTAGAACAGCAAGAAAGTGGACGAGAGAATATAATACTTACCCTCCGAGGACAAAGTTTTTGAAGCTAACGTACAGCTGGAGCGCGGTTTTCAGGGAAGTGAGAGAGTGTACAAATTCTGTCAAAAGCATAGGGACTTTCCCAGCCTCCTCCAGAAGACGCAACCTAATGTTTTCTTCCTTGACCTACACAGACATAATTTAAAACTGACATATAATCAGACATACATCAACGTGGAATTCTTTATAAACCTTCTCCAACAGCTCTTCTTTTCTGATGAGATTTAAACTTTGTTCCTTTAGCCTTTGGCGTAAGTCCTCAAAGATAATAAATTACATCGTGCAGGTACCAATAAATTTTTGTGTCTGTCTGAAATGAACATTTTACACCTAGGGACATGCACAGCAGCTAACTCATTGATTGAATCTCCTACTTCAGCTGAAGAGATTATACTGCGAAATGGTCCTACCCAAGTATAAGTTATTTTTCTGAAACAAACTGAGAACTTCTGTCCATGCCTATATCCAATAATTCAAAGAAATTGAGCATACGCGGACTAACGGACTAGAACGTCCGAAGAAGTCAGTTTTGTTGTCTGTCTTGGCTAGGGCTTCTAAAAATTCACGGCATCCTAAGAACAATGCTAAACAAATTTTAAAAGACACGAACATGAAGTCTTACATGGGCTTTCAAAAATCGGGACATTAACTTCAGGGTACTTATTAAAATAGTCGTTGACTTTGCAGTCTATGTCCTTCAGTTTCTTCGGATAGTCCGTCTGTATTATTTTGCGTGACAACAACCAACCTACAAACTAGTTAATAAATATATGAGTGATACTATTAATTCTCGATGATTGAATAAGTAAAGCTGGCAACTGCTGTTGATCAGTGTCCTTCATTTCACAAGTTTAACACGTTTGCAAGTCGATTCGTCCTAGTAACATAAGAGATACAAACAAGATCCAATATCTTAGTGAAGAGCTTGTATACACCGATTGGTGATTTTGCGCTGGTTTGTCGTTTCAGCAAGATTACAGGTATTTTATCATGTCAACTTGGAAGTTATTCCAGCCACTCGAATGCATTATTTGCAGTTAGTGGTAGTTATTTCAGTTTCAGTTTGGAAAGACAGGAGGCTTGGTGGCCAGTGTTAGTCCCAGAAATATGGTCTCCCAGTTGACCCGATTTTCTTTTGAAAGTGTCGATAAATAGAGATTCAGCCACTTGTGGAGGTAATTAATTCCATTTGATGATTCGACGGGAAAGTCGATGTGACATCAACTAGTTCCTGTTCGAAGGAATTTTTTGACAATTCAGTTCTCAGATTTTTCTAATAACCGTGTGTGCATTAAAGTCCCCCACGACTATACATCGACCACTCAATGACCAAGTATTGAAACTGTCTGGCAAAACCTCACTTGCCTCACAGCTTGAACTGCGGTAGACCAAACCAATCAGCAGCTCTTGTCCCTTGCATTTCAGGCGGCAGGTAACTAATTCAAACGTTCCACTCTCATGAGATACACCGTCGATAACGGTGAATGGCATAGTACTTTCAATGACTAGAGCTGCTTCCTCTTCTTGACGGTTCTGGGTTCTGTCGGCTCTTACCAGAGTAATCAATCAAGTTGCATACTGTCTGTTGGATGCGTCAGCTAAGTTTCTATAACTGCAATTATATCTGGCTTGGTAGAATCAATCTGTACACCTAGTAGCGACCGCTTATCAAGCGAGCTTCGGGCATTAGTGTTACAAATTCGAAGCCTATTTAAATGGCTTTGCACTGCACCCATAGTGGCTTCGGCATCATTATCTCCAGAAGCCTCACAACACGAAAATTTATAATTTTTAGGTCCTTTTCATTGAGTGCTTTCAACTTTAGGCACCATAGTATCTCAATACCAGTAGCTATCACACCATCAAGCGGCTGATTAGTTGGTTACATTGTAAAAATGATCAAGAAAAAATTCTAACGTCGAGGAAAGACTAGTGGTTGTTTCTCTCATTATCAAATTTTGCTGGTGAGTTCATTCTTTATGAGGTTTAAAGAGCTTCACTTAGGTCCTTTTGGCTTCTGAAGTTTATACATATCATATGAAAACGTTTAGTTGTCATAAAATGTGATGAATGAGGACTCTAAAACAAACCATTTGTAATTGTTTTCCAAGTCTTAGTCAATGCGGTAGCCAATAAAAGTGTTGCATATAGTATCGGTGAGCTTTCTTCGAACCACCACCCACCAGCTCAAGCACCTGTGGACCAACGTGATGTTTGGTTCATGAGTGTAAGTTGGTGATGTTCGGGTGGAACCTTTAATGAGTTAACGCGGATTCGTGAGGACCGTTTAATCGGTGGTCTCTGAAAAGTTAATAAAACATTTTCTGCAACACCTAAATCCGTATTTACCTACAATGGAGGTGACTTACCTTCCGCCACACTTTCGCTCATATACGGGCGTCATAGGTATGCTGGAGTTCTACCCAGCCCAAGCATTGTGTTACCGATATTTCCTTTCATTTTACCTACGCATTGCCTCCTATCACCAACCGTGACTGAAGTATGTGCAAACTGGGCTCCCATAATCGCGTATTTGGTTGTACCTGTGTTAGATGGACTGGGTACACTTACAAAGATTGGCAAGGCCGCGTTTGTTGAATTTTTACGTTCCTCTTTCCGCAGTTCCATATTATGTGGGTGCCATATCGTCACATAGACAGTAGACCCAACTACCGCAAGAATTACATTTGAATGCTTAGTCAGTGGTTTAAGCTATCAACGAACCCGTCTTGCCAGGTTTGTCTTTCGAAATAATGCTTAGTGCATTTGGCCCACAAGCATCAATCTACAGACACAAGCTGACCTGTCTTTCTTTGAAACCATACTTAGTTCCTTAGATGTTCACAGCTGGCAGCAACAGAAAATACTAACGTTCACATGATAATAAGCCGGAACCTATATTCAAATCACTTTGAACTCATCTATAAAATTCGATATTGGTGACATAAAACGAATAACACAAACAAATGAACATAAACTCAATAAAGTAGATAACTGGTGTAAAATTTGAAATTTTGAATTTAATATGGAGAAGTGCAGGTGGCTTTGAATCTGAGACTTATCTATTAAAACGAAACCCATATTCAATAGGAATCCATTGCCGAAACCAGTATGTGAGAGTGAATTACTCTGAAAACTTAAACGTTTATGAACACATTTCTACGGCAGCATGTTAAATGTGCAAATTACCACATATCATCCTTTGTACCTTGATTCAACAAAAATGCATAGCGTTATTTACCACATATGAATAGGATTGACCGTTTAATGTAACTCATTATTTCTTAATATATTCTTATCTGATGTATGAAGGGTGGAATGTATAAAACGGCGTCTTTTTAGTTAAATGGAGAAAATTTATCTTGCAGTTGACTATATCTGCAGATGCCATACCCTAAGAATTTAGCCCATTTGGAAAACAAGACTTAGATTCTGTGTGACTACTTACATCAAGCTACTACATAAACCAGCTTCTCATATACTATGATTCTTATTTTAAATATATATATATATAATCCCTTTGTAATAAAGTATCTTTAGTTCAAATCTATGTACTCATGTGGAATAACCTGCTCTGGGAAATTCGCATGGTAGATGAATTGCATTGTAAGTCTACTTAGAGTTCTTAGATACGCTGGCTTTCTAGTACGAATGAAGACATTAAAGCTCTACGTGGATATTATTCGATGATATTCAGGTTGCTCTTTTGTGCTTGGCACTTCTTATGTTCGTAATTTTGATGTTTACATAGCTTCTGCACTAAGATAATTTATTAAATATTAATTCAGGCTCTTCGTATACGATGGAGGAGTACGTACTTGATGGAAAATTGAATAATCAAGATAATATGATAGGTTACTGATGATGTCACAGGTATTCAGTGTTTGACAACGCTTCTAATGTATTTCGTTCCCACCCAGAGAAATCAAAAGACAGAGTCGAGGAGATCGGATGAGTATATTTGGCGATGACCAATATATCGGAATTCTCTGATCTAATCTGGCTAGCGATTGCGGTTGATGTTGAGCACGGCGTTACCACATGTGATCTGGTGCGGATGCCTGACCGAGCGCCTTCAGCTAGATGAGTCCACTAAAACATATGGTCAGAATCCAATGTCGAAAACTTAGTGCTATTTATTTTGGGGATTTATTTACCGCTACATTACTATAATTACCAAGTTATTAGCGTTTCTAAGAACTCCATGTTTATTCATTAGTTTGTGGATATAGCGGGTGATATTCCAGCTTTTTATATCAGCTAAAACACCATTATTCAGACCCATTCGACCTTGATAACAACCCATATGAATTTTACCTACTAAATGAACATGCCTTATTTACTGATTCAGCGCCATCGAATCAAAGCTTTATACCTTCAGTGCTCCAATTATTTTTTCAACCTGATGTTCAGAAAATAAGTTTCATATCTCGCAAGATGTATTAGTTAGTAGGTGGATCAGTATGATGATTAGAAGCATTTGAATTATAGAACAAACTGGGGATCCTAGAAATACTGCAATAAAACAAGAAGTACTGGATAAGCACTAAAGAATGTACTATATTTGGAATTCGAAATCAAGCGCACAACAAGTAAAAAGGTATCATTAGTCCATAAAAACACTATATCCGTCACAGCTTAAATTGGAGTCTCGGTGTTTGTAGTCGATTGTACGTCTTCTTCTTAACTTCATCCCGTGTCTGTCCGACAATGTATTGGGTAAGGACTGTGTATTATCTAGAATGTACACATTAGCACTAGAATTAACAACTGAAATTGGAAGAATCACCTGCTTCCTGGAATTGCATTTGATCAGCATGTCGGTTGTCTGTACTGAAGTCATCGATATCTAGATTTCGCACCACAGATTTCCCGACATTCTTCGGCACAGTCCCCGTGGATGATGGAAGATCATTTCCACGATAATATTGCTATGCCCTGGTAAGAATAATGAGTGTTAATTTTTTGGGTCCGTTTGTGGACCAATACTAAACGTATATTTTACCGTATAATTATTAATTAACCAAACTATTCTTATCGAATAAACGTTAAATATTTCTATGGAAGTCGATTGACTAACTTATCGATTGAATGTTTGAAAATACTTCCATGGCAATATCGATTATATACATCTGACTGATATATATACGTTTTGAATTGTGTTTGTGTGATCGCTCGTTTCTGGCTGTTTGCAGAATATACTTTCCCATTCCAAGCTTGGACTTCTCCCCCTCGTTAGCAGGGCTGGGACGCATCACATAGCTACCTTACTGGTCTTTGGTCACTGAGTCTTTGTTCTCGTTAAAATTAAGTGAACTCGTGATAGCTTCAACCCTAGCAAATATTTAACTTCTGCAGACTCCAAAGATCTCATATTCGACCGAAGAATTCTTCCTTTCAATAGCTTTGATGGAGTCTCCTTCGTCACCGAGTGTCTGGCATTTCTATATTGCAGTAGAATGGTATCTACTCCGCTCTCCAGCTCATTAAATGTTGAGGCGGCTATAGAATCAATAGTAGTCTTTAATGTCCTGACAAAATTTTCTGCCTGACCATTAGAACACGGATGTCTGAGAGCAGTAAACAGATGTTTGCACCCTATACCATTCAAACAGGTAGTGACTGCATCTGCAGCAAAATGAGAACCATTATCAGCCAGTAACACCATTGGAACCCCTTCTCAACCAAACATCTTTCTTAATGCTTGAATTGTGGAGTAAGAGTTCGGTGAGGTTTAGTTAAAAACTTCAGGTCACTTTGAAAAAGAATCAATGACTACAAGCGCATAGTATTTGTCAATAAACGGACCACATTATTCTGCGTGAATTCTCTGCCAGGCCTCAGACGATACTGGACATGGAGTCCACTTCGAAGGCTGATTTTTCAACCG